GCAAATTGGATTTGCTCTGCCTGTTCAAATAAACCCACACAATAAATAGAAAATTCAGACTGTAACTATCTCACATACAATCAGCACAAGAGGGGAGAACTTAGAAAAAGTCACGTGAAAAGTGACATTTCAGGGTACAATATTTACAGGTCCTGGGCAGAGGCCCCAAGGCCAGATCAGTGTCCACAAGTTCTGTTATTCCACTGCTGAAACTCCCCAGGGGGGAGTGAGTTCTAAAGAATTTTTTTCATTCTACTTCCTGCCTTTGGTTTGGTACAGGCTGGAAATTGAACCAAAAAAAAAAATAAAAATTAAGGTGCTGTCTCAAGTACCTGTGCAAACATTTTTCCACAGCACCTGTCTAGCAGCAAACAAAAACCCCTTTTGTGGAGCAGTCAGTGGTTTGATCACCTCAGTCATCAGGTTCCTCCTCAGAGAGCAGGAGGTCTTTGTCTGACAGCTGGTCGGTGTTGCTGGTGCTGGTGGCGTCCTCCTCATCCTCGGAGCTGCCGTGGCAGGAGGTGTGGAAGAGCCTCATCAGCTCCCGGAACCTGTGCGACACCTGCGGGGCCAAGGGGAGCCGGGGTCACCATGGAAATGCAATTTCAGGAGTTTCAGGAATTCCCACTATAATATACTAATAGTATATTATATATATACTAATTATATAGATACTAATATATACTAATATAATAATATATAATATAATATAATAGAATAGAATAGAATATATAATTATATATTATATATATTATATACTTATATAATATAATTAAATTATTATATTATAATATATTATATAACTAATATATACTAATATAATAATATACTATATAATATATAATTATAATTATAATTATTATATTATAATATATTATACAACTAATATATACTAATATAATAATATACTATATATACTAATATATACTAATTATATAGATAGTATAGATACTATACTATAATATACTAATATGATATTATATATACTAATTATATTATACTATAACATACTAATATGATATTATATATACTAATTATATTATACTATAATACACTAATATGATAATTCGACACAAATTCAACACCACAGTGGCATTTCATACAAGACTGAGGCACTGAGGAGGAGAAATGGAAAAGCTCTGGGTTTGTTTGCTCTGGAGGAACAGTTCCATTCCCCAGGTGCAATCTGGGACTTTGGACAAAAGCAGGTTTGTACAGGAGGAGGAGCTGAGGAGCAGCCACTGAAACAACCCCAGTGCCAAAGGTGCAGCTCAAACATCAATGGTGACCTGGCAGGAGCAGGGCACGGAGGATTTTTGGCACCACTAAAACAGAGTTTGGTTTGGTTTTTTTTCTTTTATTTGCACCTGGGATGATTTTTTCCATCAAACTGAAGTTTGGGGAGTGATGGGGCAGCGCCCTGGGGTTCCCAGCCCTGCCCCACAGCAGCCTCACCTCACTGGCAGTTTTGTTGCCCAGTTTCTGGGAGATGGCGTGGAAGGTGTCCAGGTGGGCTCCCCGCTCCTGGCACGTGGTGAGGATGACTCTGTCGGCCTCCCTGCNGCCCGCGGGGATTCCTCGGGGACAGAGCCCGGGGCTCCTCCCCGGCAGGTAACGAACGAACGAACGAACAGCCCGGATACTGCTGCAGAGAGCAGGGCCTGAGGGGGAAAGTTATCAATGACAGCCCAAAGTTATCAATGGCAACCCCAAAGTTATCAATGACAACCCCAAAGTTATCAATGACAACCCCAAGTTATCAATGGCAACCCAAAGTTATCAATGACAACCCCAAAGTTATCAATGGCAACCCAAAGTTGTCAATGGCAACGCCAAATTATCAATGACAACCCAAAGTTATCAATGACAACCCAAAGTTATGAATGACAACCCAAAGTTACGAATGACAACCCAAAGTTATCAATGGCAACCCCAAAGTTACCAATGACAACCCCAAATTACCAATGGCAACCCCAAAGTTATCAATGACATCCCAAAGTTATCAATGACAACCCCAAATTATCAATGGCAACCCAAAGTTGTCAATGACAACCCCAAAGTTATGAATGACAACCCAAAGTTATCGATAACAAAAATTATAAATAACCAGGATTATCAATAAAAAAATTATCAATAACCAGGGTTATCAATAACCAAAATTATCAATAACCAGGATTAATAACCCAAATTATCAATAACCAGGATTATAAATAACCTGGATTATCAATAACCAGGGTTATCAATAACCAAAATTATCAATAACCAGGATTAATAACCCAAATTATCAATAACCAGGATTATAAATAACCAGGGTTATCAATAACCTGGATTATCAATAACCAAAATTATCAATAACCAGGATTATCAATAACCAGGATTATTAACAGCCAGGATTATAAATAACCAAAATTACTAATAACCAAAATTATCAATAACCAGATGTCTGTTTAACCCTTGCCGTGCCAGGCTGGTGGCTGAGGTTCTGGTGCTGTTTAACCCTTTGTGTGCCCAGGTGGTGGCTGAGGGTTTGATGGTGTTTAACCCTTTCTGTGCCTGATGTCTGGCACTGTTTAACCCTTTGTGTGCCTGAGGTTCTGGTGCTGTTTAACCCTTTCTGTGCCCGATGTCCGGCGCTGTTTAACCCTTTGTGTGCCCGGGTGGTGGCTGAGGTTCTGGCGCTGTTTAACCCTTTCTGTGCC